TGCTTAATAGATCTTCGTGGGAGCGATCATATGAATATCTCAGATCGTAGCATTGATTATCTGCCGTGTCAAAACCCTCAGATCATAACCAAGAATTAACCAATTTCAGCTCGTATAGGCTTGATTCCGCGTAAATGGTTCTTCAAATTTTCTATCAAAAATCATCCCAATCCGAACTTTCAATTTCACAGAGTAGAACCGTTTTCCACTAAATCTGCGTAATAGTTACTGGTTGGAATGATCGTTCGAATTTCAATTAGGGTTGTGTTTATGTTCTGCCCTGTCAACATCCTCAGATCGTTGTAGCACCTGGAATCAGTTTCATCTTGTCCGAGAAAATGGTTCTATAAAAATTTTAATTCCAGAACATTTACAGTATACAGTGGATGTCCAAGTGTCCTGGAGAATATATCCAATGGATTTATTTTGGATCAAATTTGCTTCTTGGGAAGTGGAATTTATGCGATTCAGTAGATTGTAATCCAGCAATATTCTTATCTATTGATGAAAGCCAGCCCAGAGAAACGTATTGCAATACTAGTCATGGGGATGGAGGAAGAGGGACTCAGCCCCCAATACAAACTCACGACATAATAACGGAAGAAGCCCTACAGTGAACTTCTAAGAAGCAACAAATTGCTCCATTAACGTCAGTCTCCTTACTGGAAGTAAGGCCTCATATTTGTAGGCGCGTATTTGACCGTGGGGGAGAAGTAAGAAGTGAAAAGATGCAGTGGATTCAGATCCTATCTATCAGGTAGTTTTATGCCCAAGATAGCACGCTAACAGAGTCAAGGGATCTCCTTGAAGATCTACTGTAATTGTACAGGTTTGACGCAGAAATGGTCTTGTGGAATACAATCTTATTAGTGCATTTTATGCATTAATTAGTATTTGAAGTCTAGTAGGGCGACATGTGTTCTCATGAAGGTGATTTTGAAGGATTGTGTAACCTATGAAGGGTGAGTATGAGTCCCTCAAGGGAGAGTAAGGAATATCACGGGTGATAATGGAGGGTGACTTTGATGGGTGCCCCTAAGGGAATACACGAAATGCTTGTGGGACGATGCCTAGGGCCATGTGCTGCCCATCACTGAAACTGATTCTGTCTTGAAAAGAGGGTGAGGCATCTGACTATTGCCGTGTGAACCTCCAAGAGTGCTGGACACCACGGTGAGCATTCTCGCCCCTCGTTTCACGACGATCATGTTCACCACTAGGCTGTCGAATGACGACGCATGTACACGCTTGAGGGTGCGGGATTTCAGCTTCATTATTTCCTTTTTGTTGATGGTGGAAACAGCTGCAAAACGTGAACTCTACGGGCTGATTGACGAATGATTTTCCTTAATTGTATCTCATTACCTTCATTCATTTTTTCCTTATCGGCAGTCATGCCAAAATTGGATACCCAAAGGTGGACAAGGCCAGAGATGAGCATATCTCCTTCCCATTAAAACTGGTAACTGCACGGACAGTCAAGAAACTTCATTTTGACTCAAGGTTGTTAAAGTGATGGAGACTCCAAGTTGATTTCATAGTATGAAGATTTTTCCTGTCAATGCTCTATTAATGAGTACTTCTAGTGAAATACTGCATTCAGGGACATGTGGATTTGCATCATTTAACGGGGTCCATGTTTACTTTATATGGCAAGTCCCTCTGGAAGAGACTCATATGCAAAGCGCGTAAGCTCGCCGGACTTCACCTCCTAATGTTTTCCGTTCGCGCCGACTGGTTCTAAACATTTTGCGATAGTATGTGAAATCCAGCAAGAGTTCCTTGGGTATCTCATAACTGTGACCAACTGTGGAAGAAATGCACAGATAATATTATATAAGAATAGGTACAGTTTGTCTGAATCCTCGGACGACCTGCTGGTCCCACGTCTAGCGCTATACACCAGGAGAGCAATTGCATCAAGTTAGGTTACTGGGTTTACAAAGGCGGAAATCTGTGTTCAAGAAAAGTGCTATATGGTCAATTAATAAATATTCCTGATATAAAAGTCATGCTTAGCCCTCCACAATCTACACGAGTGCAACCTTCGTTTTAAAAATTGGCCCATCATCTGAGATGATTTAACAATGAATGAAGACCATGAATGATTCACCAATGAGTAATTATTTTTCAGCTCTCCATTATTTAGGGGAGTAGAGGGGAGGGGAGGGGAGTGGAGGAGGAGGGAAAGAGAGGGGGGGAAGAGGTCAAGAGAGGGGAGAGGAAAGGGGGGGGGGACCACAAATGGCCTTATGGGCTAGTCTTTAGGCTAGTCACATGAACATTAAGTTCATGTGACTAGCAACGCACAAATTGGGAAAGCGAGACGATTGTTCTTTGCCTCGATTGGGCCTTGAGAATTGGTCGACAATTAGCCGCCAACAGGCGATTCGCCACTTAGACGTTGGTCGCTTTCCAGGTGATTGTCACTCGTGTTGAAATGGAGAATCTGGGAAGGCTACGATCCAGATGTTGACGTACATCATGAACCGAGCTGAATTGTGATGGGCAAGTAACGTAGGAGCATTTTTTTTCTTGAAGGGCACGGAAGAGGACAAGAACTAAGCTTGTCAGATCCAGGCTCAGCCAAACACATTAACTTCCTAAAGTATTCCTATTAGAACACACCCGCGTCCGGCGGGATCCGCTTCACAAATTTTCAACAGACATGAAGAACGCAAAGTTAATTTTTATTTGGAGTTAGAGAAAATACTATTAGTGAACAGATAAATTTCGAATTTCAAAGTGCCACGCTTTGGATCAATAATAGAAGATGCCTTACGTCTTCAGGGAACCCTAAACTGTATTAATTTAATTTCTCTGCGAGTTTCGCCCCGTAGCATTCAAGTAAGACACAGTTGAAATTTGGAAGACCCGGACATTGGATAAGGGGTTATAGCCACCTAGAAAGAGTAAATACCAAGAGACACCGATTTTTTAAGCTTAGGCCTAAGCAAACACCTGGTTGGACCGATCTGCCCGACACGACTCATGTGTGAGGTCGGGTAGGATCACGATTCAAATCGGGCTAACCCAGTCGAATTCGAAAAAGTGGACCCCAGCAGGCCTATGGCGGACAGACAGACTTATGAAGGACGTTGGCTATTGTTATATAGGTAGGTCGCACTCGCGTGCACTGGATCCACTTTGGGTGTAGCAAAATTTTAACAGACAGAATTCCGGGCTGAAATGACTTCCGAAATGGACTATCCGCAGGATGTTACAAGGGATATATTGCACGAAAATACTGTATGAATATGTTACAGTGATATATGTTTCAGCAGATGGAGTTGAATTAAGAGTGTCATATTGATGTGTTGATGTAATGGTTACGTTTCACGAGAGCATTCAAAGGCCGGGATGTCTAGCACTTGGCCCGGGCCATTGCGTCTGCCTGCTGTGTTATCACCACCTGAACTTATAACTTAGGGGATGCTCACCAAAATGCGATGGCATTCCCCACGGCCTGCATAGCAGTTGGTCAATCATCGAGGGAATTATTTTTAATATGAATTTCTATAATCTTGAAAATTTCCCACAAAGATGCATTCCTCTCTTCGTTTCATGGCTTGTGGTCTTTTATAATCACTTTCAGATCGGTTCTCCTTACTCGAATATGCTTAGTTGCCCTAGTGGAGGTTTGTCGAGCACCTCAAGGTTTCCGCCTGTCGATTATCGCTATATCCGTAAATGGAAATTGGCTTCAATAGGACGAATGCGTCTAGGCCTTCATGGGAAGGAAGAGATTTTATCCACCTTGTTAAGTTCTTCCCGTTCACCCTAATGTGACATTTTACCTAATTTCAAGAGAATGGAAATTCCCTTCTCTGAAGGTAGCATTCCGTTCATATGTAGAAGTAGCGATATGTAGAAGTATGATAATATGACAGTCATTTAACTCAAACATATTTCTTTTTTTTTTCCTTTCAAAGTTGTGTCGTGTCGATGTAATATCGTATGGCTGTTTCATCATGTTGCTCCTTTGTCGCATCGATGGATTTTCACTTCAATGTTTCATCGCATGTGTCATGTTCTCGTTGCCCCCTGATGCTCTTCCTTTCACCCCTTTTCCCCCTCGCCATGGGGCATGTACCAGCCCCTTCACCTTGGCTTGGAGAACTATACTTTCTCCGCCCAGACTTGCCCTTAAAAGGTGGAGGTCTCCGGAAATTCGGGGCATTCGTGAAGCATTCGCTCAGTACCTCTTGACGGTGCCGTCCACGCCCGCGGATTGAACATTTCGCAACGGAGCCATTCACGCCTGCCGACCCTCCACTTCTCGGCAGAGCGGCTCGAGTCTCCCCTCACTTCCACCTCACTTCCAAACAACAGCTCTCCAATCATTTCCCCAAATCCTAGTGACCTCCACTCGGAGGATGATATGATTAAACGAGGCTCAGTTAGAAACCTTGTCTTCCATTTCCAAATATGCAAGACCTTGTTCACGTGAGGCTTGGCGCCGAGTCCACGGTGTTCAGATGTGATACCATCTCTATTATTGCTCACACTTTTGCCCTTGAGAACTCGGCCAAGCGTCATTAATATCGTTCGTATACTAATTTTCATCTCAATTTGCAAATTCAATGATGTAATTGAAGAGGCTATGAGTAATTCATTATAAAATACCATAATCACCTCAGGCCGGCAAGGGGGAAAATTTGCCGTGAAATGCTGACTTATTGTAAGTGACGAAGGAGCTGCGGAGTTGCACCGCTTGCCCTGAGCACAATCGCATGCCTTCAACAAGATCGCATGCTCTAATCCATGTTCTTCATCCACATTGCGTAATTCCAAGAAAATAATGCTTGGAAGGTTGCTATTTATTTGAAGTAGGTCAAACCATGATGTGCTCTTTTTTTTTAAATCAATTTTATTCATAGTTTCTTCATTGTTTCTCTTCATGTATCCACGACATTTAGCACCTATTTAAATAGCATGGAATTCCCTTCTAAATAAGAAGGTTCAAACCCTGGTTTCACTCCTAAATAGGGTTTGTTCGTTGCTGACTGAGAATTGAAGAATAGCGTGAAAATCACCAGTGAAAATATGCTAGATGTTTTCTTGCTTCCTCATTTTGCTGGACGTGTATTCCTTATAAATGTCCGGCGAGCACAAGCAGAACTTCCAGGGTTCGGTAAGAGAGGGAGGAGCATTTCTTGGCTTGGCTCCCGATCTTTGCGATGAGCTCCGCTCGGTAGAGGCGGTGGTTGATTGCCGTCTTCGCCAGTTCCTTCCTGACTTTCTTGTTCAAGAAGAATTCGAACATGTTGGTTAATTTGAATCCGTCGTGGAGCACAAATGCGTTGTTCAGGACGAAGAATTTCCAGCCACGGGCTTTCAACTCGCACGCCTGAAGAATGGTCAGATGCAAATGCATGTAAATGTTCGACTATACATCTGTTAACGTAAACATGAAAATAATGCGAAATCACGGATCTTCCAAGTGAGCGTACTTGGGACATGCATGATGTACCAAGAATGACTCTCGATGAGTACCTTGCCTTTAGTTTTTAACTTAACAAAAGTTCGATTTCTGATTTAGTGGAAGCCCAAGACAAGATCTAAATATGAATTTTGGGAGCATAGAACACTGCTAGATTCCTCACCCTTCTTAAAAAATTTGTTCAAATTTCGTTTCGAAGGGGTGGATATGAGTACTCGGTCAAAAAATCACGAATGATGTGAAAAGAAAATCCCCGCTGATATGCAATAAATCAAGCAAATGTATAAATCAATAAATGTCCAATAAAAGCTTGAAATATTACCTTCATGTTCCTGGGTCCAAATTCCTGAGTTGAAAATTATAATTTCCGAAAGGTTAGGAAGTAGGGTTACTTTCAGTGAATAACTTAGTACATCATTCCTTTGGATTTTCAATCCTGCCAGCAATCTCCAAAGAAAAGGTTATATCTCTACATATGAAGATAGGGTATATTGAACTTTGTTTTACTGGTACCTTGTGTTCCAGCATTTCAACACAAAATATGATATATGTTACCATGCATCTTGATTTCTGCTGGGATTCGATTTCAAGATCACAAAAGTAACTGACACTTCCTGCTGAAAATTATACAGCATGTCCACTAGGACAGGTGTCAACAGGTATTTCGCGCTTTTTTTTTCTTTCTTTGGAGCTTCCATCCTATATTTTTTTACTGTTTTCTGCAGCAAAGAAGACGTTCTGGCTCTCTTGAGGAGGATGTGGTAGGAAACTCACGAAGCTTCCTCGTTCGTAGGAGTACTCCTTGAATCCTTCATAGTAATAGGGAGCGGAGGAGGAGAGAATGAAGAAAGGCTCATAGAAGAAACTCCATTCTACCTCATAAGCAGGCCTCATTTCCTTACTGGGTGGGAGGTTGAACCATCTTGCGTAATCAGTTGGTCCCTAAAAGATTCCAAAATTTTCAATTAATTTAACAGTCCATATAATGGCTTCTTTTCATTTAGCATGAAGATACCAAGTCTCCAATTTTACACCCGGGCGTGTAGAAGTGTGTTTAGCTCCGGACAGTCAGACGTTCCAGGCTTGGCCCACGTTGACGAGCCACATACGTACACGTGCACCACGGTGCAATATGCATAAGACGTGATAAATGTCCGCGTTTTCTGCGGCACCCAGACTAATGCATTTGTGGAACAAGTGTGGCTTATAGTATGGTAAGTCCTCGACAAGCGGAGACATGACTGCGTACCTACATGTGCAACATGGTACGAAAGAGGTCTAGGCATGCGGCGCTCCATACAAGTCTGTGGCAACCTAATTATAATACTAATTATAGTACTTTTCAGGGAAAGCCCATGAAAAGCCAGTGGTACTTGCGTGATTGTGACTTGGGTGAAAAGGATTTGCCCGATATTGCTAGCTTTCAAGTCCTTTGTCTCATACCCTCGCGCTTAAGAAAAGGGAATGAGACTCAGCGTCTACTTTACTAGATAGAACTCCCTGCTCTAAGAAATACCGACTGCAATTTCCCGTCTTAGCTGAAGCAATGGGCGGTTTCACTGAAAGCATTGAATTAGGTAACAATACTCTTGCTCATGGTATATCAGTGTTACCCACATACTTCTATTCGATAGATCCGGCTTGGAGAGAAAATACGAGGTATTAGGTCATTAGTACCGATTGCGGACATCATATGACGGGTAGTAGATATTTGCATTCAGAGGATTGATTTCTTATATTGAGCCTGAACAATTTTCTACTTGATTCTTTTTAGGCAAGCCCAGATGAGAATGGGAGTACATAAAGTACATAAAAGGTGTCTCGGAGTTGACGGAACACAGGTATTCCGCCTTGTCTATGGCGTAGAAAAACAGAGTCCCAGATACGAAACTCCCTGTGTTCTGTCATTTCAGGGACATCCTGTTTATATTTTTAAGCAGATAAGCGTGTTTTCGGGCTATCAATGAAGGGATTCAACATCAAAGAATCTTACTTGAGCAGTAGGAGTCAAGGAAATGTAGAACTGTCGGGCAGTTCCCTTCTGAACCAAAGTCTTCAGTTCTTCTTTACCACTTGGCATGGATACACCTATCTGCACTTCGAAGACCGGCATGACGTATAATGATTTCTCTTCGTTCAGCAGACCTTCCCTTGTCAACATTTGCAGAAAATCCGTTCGAAGCCCGAGGCTGGGAGTGATGTCCATGTCGCAGATTGTAAAGAAATGGGTGCGGGAACTCTTTCGTGCCACGTTTCTCATAAGGCCGACTGGATATGGAACTCTGGTTTCCATGAAGTTTTCCCTGCGCGACGTAAGGCGCTCCAAGGCCTCGTCGATGGCATCGCAGCTCCCATTCCAGTATTTCCAATCCGATTCCTCTTCCTGAATGTAACGGTGGAAGCTGAAGCTGAATGTGGCGTATTGCTTTACTAATGGATGGGAGGCCCTCAGACACTCGATTGCTTTAATCGTTGGCGCAACGTCCTTGCCAGTCCAAAGGAAGAATGCTATCGACAGCGGCCCCTGCCAAAAATAATTGGAAATGGCGATTAGGTGATATATGCAAAAGATTGGCTGAAAAAGGACTTACCCCGTAACTGCACCCATTAGGCACAAAAACGTTACCTCGACATTGAGAAGTTGAAGTTGAGAATTCGACGGAAAATTTACAAAGATGAAATGCTAGATATTCGTAATGAAGCGTATTTCCAGCATTTTGTTCGTTCCAGCACGTTCATGCCTATTTTCACCATTCCATGTCCCTACGTTTGACTGAAACTAAAATATTTGGTTAACAGCGCCCCTCCCCTTAAAGAAAAGCCTCTAGAACTGTTCTTCCAAACTTACTATGAACTCGGCATCTTAAGCGCGACCTATGTTTCGAGTTTCAGGTTTATACCATTTCTAGAACATAGTTAGAATTAGCGCCGGTCAGTTATCCAGTCAGTCACTCACCATCTTCTATATATATCCCCTTTGCATGTAAAATATGACTGTTTTTAGCGGCGCCATGCTTCCTCAGGAGCTTGCAAGGTATTGCGGTGTAGTGAATTCCCCCTTATTCCTCAGTGTGTCTCCCTATTGCTGAAGCTTTTTTAAAAAATACTTTTAAATGAAGGACATGATTTAATCAAGAAGTTCTTGACAATTTCTTCTGTGCTTAAATGTCATGATAAATTTGAAAGAAAATTGTAGGCGATTGCAGGAACAAAACCCCCTTGATGACCATACAGCGGACGTGACTGAAAAAAGGGAGACAAAGTGACATGTGGGTGGGACCGGAGAATAAGTTCTTGTGGAACTACCTTTCGCCTGCATCTGCTCAAGTGAAGCTGGAGGCTTCGAGTACCCTTATGATTTATTGATATGCAGTGGATTCCGCTTCATTGGGTCATCGGTTAATGGGGGCAGCCGGTTCATGGGGTCATTTTGTCTGGAACTGAACAATTTCTATGCAAGTGCATTTAAATTTCCCTGCAGATTCGGGACGTACATCCACTTCATCGGGGCACGGTCGAGATGAACTTTTGCCGTCGGTCCTATATGGTTTTATCCCGCCGAATCTCTCGCTTCTCTTCGCCATGTCTTTTGTGATTAAGAGCTGGCCGACTGTTGAGGCAGAGACCATCGCAAACTGCTTCTGTGGATCTGGCTTTTATTCCTTACCAGAGGAGCCAGCGTTAGCCAATGAAGGGGGTTCTGACCATTATTGATATCATTAGCGGAGGAGCCTACGTCAACATCGACGAAATTGCACCGTGCTTCGCAAACACAATGACTTTGAGGACGAAATAGTCAAAGACATCGTTGCCAAGAGGTCTTGCTAAGGGAATGTCGCAGACACAAGGAGCCTGAATCTTTACCTAAAGTGACTCGTGTAAGAGGTCACGTAAGAGCTTTCGGTGGACATCCTTCAGTGCTACTAAATTGAGCTGGGTTTGGATGATAGCGGTGCTCTTGACATTGATGCTTTAGAGAAGCTATGAAACAAGCAACTATGACACATTACTTGAATCGCAATTTTTGTTCTTGCACAAGTGAAGGACATTCATGTCTGGGTTTCTTACTATACTATATGGTAAGTTCGCTTTATTGGGGAATATTGACCTGGAACCGACTTGTCCCAATAAAGCGGCATCCACTGAATCTATGTTCTGATAGATCATCGCTCTTAACGTCGACCGTTGGTGTCAAAGTACAATACAGAGAAAGCATGATATTACCTCCGTTTTCGCATACTTATGCAAAACTGAATGGAATAAGATTTCGCGTACCTTCCAAGCATCGGCAAGAATAGCTGCTCTTCGCAGGTGATTCACAGTTCCCTGCGTGACCCACGTAACATCCTCATACTCAGATGAGGGCAAAAGTGACGCAGTGACCGCATCTTGGACTCTCTTATATTCTGAACCCTCGTCCTCCACCGACTTCTCCAAGAGATCTCTGTTCATGTCGTGTACAACTTCCTGAGAGTGGAATGGCAGTGACCGTGTTCAGTCGATCGAGAGTTCAGTGTTGTTCAGGTGTGAGATTCTACATTTCACTCGCCATTTAGACATTGCCGAAATACATCTGTTTAAGGTAGGATTTTTGAACGGAACATTATCCGATAATGCAGTTTTATTTACCGGATTTATAATGCATTTTCCAAATCCAAATAAAGCTGAATCATCGGATAATGCTCTATTCAAAAATCCACCCTTAGACTTTTGTAAGAAAAAATTATACATGAAATGGTTAAAAAAAAATAAAAGTATGCAATATATATATTTCTAAGTCTGGTATGGACGGCCGAATATGTAATGTAACTATTATTCGTTCTTATTTTCAGCATTGCCTTATTTTCAACGATTTATTGGGAATGTTCAAGGTATTACCTTCCTCTGTCGAGCTTTCTTGACACTGCAAGCGTAAGCATCCACGCTCACGTCAGCAACGATGAACATGAAGCAGATGATGATGTAAACGGCGCAGCTGACCGTCAGCACTTTCATCCGACGATCTTTCACGTAGGTGGGATATCGCCTGCAACAAAAAGCTTTGTCAAAGGAAATGAGATATTGAGTGCTCCTTCGAGATAGGAGTTTGCTTACTTTGATGGATAAGCATATTCACGACCGTGCTTGTTCCTTTTCGGAATGTAACTCTTCATGTGAAAATGTAGCATCAGCTAAAGGAAAAATGGATTTGCATAATTCATGGAGCACATCTGGAATTACCCTGTCCTGATTATTCGTAACAGCAAAAGCGAATTTGAGATTATGAACATTTTATTCCTGTGCTGCCAGCTATGAAATGCTACACCGTTTACAATTCTTGACTGGTATTGCAAATGCAAGTATTCTTGATAATTCCCTGACTGCCTCACCTGCCAGGTCCTCACACTCATGGAAACATGATGATGCCACAACTAAGGAAAATTCATACTGGCTCGGCCGTCGCCCAGGATAAAAAGGGCCGCGCCGGCTGCAGGTCTACCGGTGCAGTCAGTGAAAATTTGGCGTCCGGAGGCTCTAACGTTCCTGTTCCTCACCAGGCAGAAGTGGGAGTAAGGGCTACTGGTGAAAGACCCAACTCTGTCCCAGAGGCCGGGGTTGACAGTCGACTCTCCTCTGGTGCAGAAAATATGCCCCCCGCACGGAAACGTATGAAGTGGACAAAATCCATTAACATTGACGTCATGCGGGTTTACTATCAAGCACGATCCGATGCGCCAGGAGCGTACCGGAAGAAAATGCTCGAGCTCTGGAATCAATCTTATTCAGAGCTGGATATCAACGAGCAACGACTTGCGAATCAGAGAATCTATATCGAGCGGAACAACATGCTCTCAGAACTGAAGGGGGAAAACATCAAATAGGAAGTCCTGAACACCTTCCAGCCAGACAAACCAGAATGTACTGTAACGAGGTAGATAACGAGGATGCAACGCCTGAAGAGAATCCACTTCAGGCTCCACAGAGGGCAAATGAGGCTCCTTCAGAGCTAGAAGCGCCCTCTGAAGAACTAAGAATCGCCTTCCTCGACCATCTGGAAGATGTGCGGTACCTACAGATGTCCGACCGACCCCGACTAAGACCTCTGAAGCTCAACCTTGCCATCTCCAAAGACATCGAGGAGATCAACCAGATCATTAGCTACTGCGACCTTGCGGACTGCGATCTGACTGAGCTGAACCACCGTGCCTTTGCAGCTGCCATTACCATCCATCAGAAATGGCAAGGACCAGAAAAGCCGACCCCAAAACCCGGGAAGGGCCCTTCCTCGATTCCACCTTGGAAGAGGCGCCTCCAAAGTCGGATCGATGCAGCAAGGCGAGACCTTAGTACCCTTCAAGAGATCAAGAAGGGGAACACATCCCGGAAAGTGAAATTGACCTACAAGCGGCTGTGCCCCAAGTACAAGATCACCTCCAACTCCGATCTCCCGAACTCCATGGAGAACGTAAAGATGGAGATCCAAGTTTGGGCCCTCAGGATAGGACGGTACACGAAAAGTCAATTACTTCCGGCATAACGAGCGCTTCATGAACAACCAGTTCCACCGGGAACTGGGAGCGAGATTTCCATCAAACACGGGATCTTCCAGGGAGACACGCTGTCTTCTCTCCTCTTCTGTCTGGCTCTCGACCCACTCAGTACCGAGCTATCTCGGACTGACTGCAGTTATTACGTAGGAAAGGGGAAGAATGCAGACCATTGCATGAATCACCTGCTACATGGACGACCTGAGATTGTACGCCTCCAACGAGAAACAGCTCGAAAACCTACTCAAAGTCGTCAGCATCTTCTCGAAAGACATCTGCATGAAATTTCGGACTCGACAAGTGCGCGAAGCTCTCGAAGGGTCGGAAAAGAGGTGGAATCGCTGGGTTATCCGACGGCTCGTTCGAAACGGCGTTTACGGAGTGCCATCGGTATTATACCGATGGCGCCAAGGTAACGCCGTGATTCAATTTCATTCAAGCATGATTTCCAGGGCCACTGTCTCATGACCACCAAAAAAGCGTCCTATGCAAGGGTCATTCCACGTCAAGTCACCCAATCAAATACGGGGTACCTTCTCAGAATTTGATGAAAATTGGTGTGTGGGATACTTTTAATGAAAGAAAAACACGGGTCAATGTTTTCCTCTCTCTGACTAATAGTTCAAAAGTTATGCGCATCTGAAATTTCAGGGCGGAGTTTAACTTCCCTTGAGAATATGGGGATAAAATCTTAAGTTATGGTCTGATTCCGACAGACTCGGGGGAATCCAAATATCTGACTAAAACAGAGATTCAAACATATTTTGACCTTTTAGCACACTGAGTGACCTTTGACCTTGAAAATGACCTTGTGGAAACAAAGCCAGACGGAAGCCACTTTTACAGTCGAAGCACATATATCTTAACTAGAGTATCGCAAAGTTTCATAGATGCAATATTTTTTGTTCTGCAAATAATTTTGCAAACTAAGTCCAGTCTATAAGCCACCGGAAACACTGATCTTGGGGAGGTAAAAATTATTAAGCATGGCTTTTTCGATTTTGATTTCGTGTGCGGTAGCTAAGTACACTCGGTAGCTAAGTACACATGAGTGTTAAGTACACTCAGTAGGAAAAGTTTTGTAGCAGCAATTTTGTTAATTTCACATATATACCAAGCACAGCAAACTTTAAATTGTAATTTGTACATTTTAAAGTTTGCTATCCTTGGTATTTTCCCATGCATTTCGACAACAGTGTCGTTACACTGTGCCCCTATCTCATCGCAAGCACTTTTTACATGGGAGTGGCAAAAAAAGTTACATTCCCCCTTAAGTCCGAAGTCCTTTTTGTGATAGCACAGATTCATGAAGTTGTATATGTTCTTGTATTGGCAAGCACATCCATCTGCGAATTAATGTAATTTCTCTTGATTTGAAACCTCGCTCTTCAAGTGGGGTTCTTCTTTTCTTTCAATGTTCTTTTGGAACACATGTACTGCAGCAGTAGAATGTTTCTGCGAATCACTGATCACACACATGCTGGTGTGTCTCAAGTTCCCATCTTTGTCATGATGTATGCAAAAAAGAGTGAAGAGCGGCCTGTGGGCTTACCCAGTGGTAGCTCGGGATCTCATCCTGCACTACAAAGTTGAAGTTCTCAGCAAAGTCACGGATGACAATGCAATGAGCAAGAAGCAGGGTCTCTTTCAGTGACTTTAAGTAGTCTGTGCCTTAGAGATGTAATGATGGCATATAAACCCAGCAATATTTGCTGACAGGGTATCAATGAAATCTTCAGTGGATTCCCTTATTGTAATGAGGGCAGTGCGATCAGTGTCCACCAAATGCATGTATTCTACATGTTCCATCACTCGAAGCCCCTCCAGTTCGTTCAGGTTCAGTGACACAGCAGTCTTATCGTGAGACTAAAAAGTAGCCCACGTCCTCCGAAATGGAAAAAGAATACGTTCTGGACCCAGCATGAAATTTGTTATCTTAGAGAGCGGAGGAAAGAGTGACTGACGACCAAATTTCACTCTTGAAGAAATCTCAGAAGCCGAAAATGAAGCAGAAGATGAAAAATGCAGCTTGTCTTGACGACGTTTTCACATAACGAAATTTCACCCACCTTCTCAAATACACATCTATTAATGTTTCAACTACATCCCATAGCACTGAAGATGCTGTCGGGATTGAATCCACTAAGCGAGGCAAAAGATCTCTGAAATGTTCCACTAGCGAAGTAATAAAGAGTTCGTGTCCATCTGGAAAAAACTCTCTTTGAAGAGAGGACGTCCAGATGCTGCCTGTGGGTCAAGGCCCTGTTGGGGCAGGCAATTTGGTCGGGGAATTTTGTATTGCTATCAGGGACTCACTCTTTAGCTGCCCCAGGTGTTCCAGAAATTATTCGCCTCAGGGAGGACAACGATTGTCCTCCCTGAGGCCTTCTTCTTGAAATGTCAATGACCTCCGAGGCGTAATGTCCTGTGAACCCCCATCGTGAATAAACTTCAATTGAAGCACCCAAAGAAAGTTCCACATATTGCCACAGTACCTTTCATATTTGTTTCTCCTAGGAAGTATACGACCGTTGAAGCGGCCATGAATACCTCGGAGATACCCCAGAGATACCTCGGAACCATTCATGGACTTACAAATGAACTTACGAACTATTTCACTTACATGAATAGCAAAATTATACCTTTACATCTTACGAGTATCTTGCGCAAAAAAAATTTGTTTATGAATACCACTTACTAGCTTCGTAAGAACATCCTGGTAGGAGAGGTTTGATAGTACCCAGTTACGAGCTTTTCACTTCTTACTAAGAAAAAATTAAAAAAAAAGTTTTCCATGAATACCCCGGGAGAACCCCGGAGGCCTATGGACAAGACTTTGCTAGCTTAAAAAGTATTTGCAGGAGAACAAAAAATATTGCATCTATGAAACTTTGCCATTCTCTAGTTAAGATGTATATGCTTCGACTGTAAAAGTGGCTTCCGTCTGGCTTAAGATTTTATCCACATATTCCCAAGGGAAGTTAAGCTTCGCCCATGAAATTTCATATGCGCATAACTTTTCAACTATTAGTCAGAGGGGAAAAAATTGACCCGTATTTTTCTTTCATTAAAAGTATCCCACACACCAATTTTCATCAAAATCTGAGAGGGTACCCCGTATTCGATTGTGTGACTTGACGTGGAATGACCCGCAAATAAAACTAAATGATGAGTGAGACTCCACCTATAGTCACCAAAGAATGGCATATCGAAAGAAAACATGTAGGAGAAAATGGACTATGGCAGGGTGCATTGTCTCTGATTTTGTTCTGATAGTAGAGATGTCTTTGATGCAGTAGTGAAACTTGGAAAATGAGGGCTGTAAAATTAATTTTTCTTTTATGTCCCCAAACGTGGACACTATGCAGCAAAGAGTTAATCGAAGGGTCGAGTTTTAAAAAAGAAATACCCCGTTTCTTACTTTTACTTTTCCGTAATCAGGAGTTACTTTTCCCAGTAAAAGTAAAACTCCCAGAATGCATGCATCTCACTCACGACGTTCCGGGAAGCGGCAGATTCAATGATGGCTGAAGTCATTCCTGTCCGCTTTTAACCCTTTGACGTCGGGTGACGCGTATACGCGTCCTGCGGATTAGGTACTGATAGCGCCTACTTTAAGCCGGGCGAAAAACATGGCGCCGACCATTGCAGAGCGCGTTTTGGTTCTCGTGGCTCAACTGTGACCTTTGTGACCTACTCCAACGCTAATTGCTTCCTGAACTAGTGGCAAGGCGTGCAGTGGAACAGTACCACGTCAATTCAAGTGCGTCTGGCTTGGAACACCGCTGTCGATTAAATCCGATAGCAGTAGTGGTCTGGACGAGTGCGAAGACCAAGTACTGCACCGCGGCCGAAGCGACATCTGTATTGTCAAAGGAGAACTACAGCTTGGGGAGTATACATCAGGTGTCAAGGGCGGTGAGACTCGGACTTTCCGTACTTTTCTGTACTTCAACAGTTTGTCGTAGTTGCCAACACTCACCTACAATTGGCACTGCATCATGGCTTCCAAGAGAGAAGAAAAACTCAGCCTCAACGATGTCATGACAGAATTAAAAAGCATGAGGACGGACCTGGTGCAAGCTATGAAGAACATTGAGAAGAAGGTGGGAGAAATCGCATCAAGGCAGGATAAGTTGGAGAAAGAGATAGAAGA